TAGCTCTCACAGAAGACAGTCTCGTGTAGCCCAGGCTGGGCGTTAAACTGACTGCCCAAGGAAGACTTTGAACTTTTGACTCTCCTGGTTCCACTTTTGAATGCTGGGATAACGGGTTTGCACCGCCACGCCGGTTTATTCGGTGCTGGAGATCAAACCAGGACTTCGTGCTTCCTGGCACGTACTTCCAACTGAGCTACCCCAGCCACCTGGGTTCAATTTATTTGTCATTGACTGTGGCTGTCCTAGAGAGCTGTGGCAGATCAGCCAACCAGCCAGGCTGCTCAGCTCTTACCGTCCTTAAGAACCTTCCTGTTGACTCTAGCAGGCTTTCTTTTCTTCAGCCCTCCCTCCCTTACTTCCTAAGTCAGACTCTTGCTAGGTAACCCTGACTGACCTGGGACTCAATATGTAGATCCAAGCCAACCCTAAGCTCAGAAAGAGCTGCCTGCCTCTCTATCCCAAGTGCTGAGGCCAAGGGTGTGCCCCACCACACCCCACCCTTCGGCTGGCTTTTCTGATGGGTCACTAGCTACAGATAGCTTGTATCACTTCTACTTGATTTCCACAATCTCCGTTTCCTTGTAACTGGAGTAAGTGTGCCTGCTGGCCACCAGCCTTTCCGTCCCTGAGCAGACAGGGAGTGTGTGTGTCTCTGGTGAAGTCTGTTTCCCAGAGGGCTCAGATAAGTAATTTTCCAAGGGACCGCACAATTCCTTTCACCCAGACATGTTGGGTTATCTAGCTCTACCTAGTCATCTTTTTTTTTCCAGCCTTTGGCTTTTATGATAAAGCTGTCATGCCCACTCACTTCAAGGCTTTGTGTAAATACATTTTCTTTCTCTTGAGTGTGTATCTTGGAGTTAGAATTGTTAGTAGGTCATATCTGGGTCTGGTGATGCCTATAATCCTTGCACTCAGGATGCTGAGGTAGGAATATCTTAAATTCAAGGCCAACCAGATTGAATATCAACACCCATATGCCAGCTCCATCCTATTTGGTAATCTCAAGAGTACCACTCAGGCTTCAGGTTTGTCTGAGTTTTGTTTTTGGGTTTTGTTGTTGTTATTTGGTTTGATTTGGTTTGGTTTGGTTTGGTTTGGTTTGGTTTGGTATGTTTGGGGCCAGGAACAGGGATTGAAACAAGATTTCTCTGTGTAGCCTTGAGTGCCCTGGAACTCACTTGGTAGACCAGGCCGGCCTCAAACTCACAGAGGTCCACCTTTCTCTGCCTCCCAAGTACTGGGATTAAAGGCATACACCACCACTGGGTCGAGGCTTCTGATTTTTTAAAGACTTATTTTACTTTATGTATATGAGTGTTTTACCTGTGTGCATACGCATGAAATATGTGTGTGCCAGAAGAGGTCAAAAGAAGACATTGAAACCCCTGGAACCCAAGCTACAGGTGGTTGTGAGCCACCATGTGGGTGCTGAGAACTGAACTGAGGGCCTCGGGAAGAGCAGCTAGTGCTCTTAACCAGATGGCTGGAGTCATCTCTCCAGCCCCCAAATCTACTCCTTCTGTCTATTTAACCTACCTACATACAAGCCTGCAAGGGAAATGCTGCTTATCTCTACAGCCCGGCACCTAAGACATACAGCTCAAGTACCTTACCCCTGCTCAGCCTCAGATCTCATGTACCTCACCCCTGCTCAGCCTCAGGTCTCAAGTACTTCACCCCTGCTCAACCTCAGGTCTCAAGTACCTCACCCCTGCTCAGCCTCAGGTCTCAAGTACCTCACCTCTGCTCAGCCTCAGGTCTCAAGTACCTCACCCCTGCTCAGCTTCAGGTCTCATGTACCTCACCCCTGCTCAGCTCCAGGTCTCATGTACCTCACCCCTGCTCAGCCTCAGACTTCAAAAGTCTCTCTGCCCAGCATCCATGTCCTTGCTGGCCGCCTGCATCTCCCTCTGTTGTTGATTTTTAATTGAATTCTGTTGTGGTTGAAGGGCATTCTGTATAATTTCATTTCCTTTAGATTTGCAGAGCCTTGTCTTACATCCCAGCAGATGGTCTCCTTGACAACTGTTCTGTGACCTCTTGAGATGGTGTTTGTTTTGCTGATGGTGGCGGAGGACCAACTGGGTTAAATTTGTTACTAACCTTCTAGTCTTCTACACCGTTACTGGTTTTCTGTGTATGTTTACCAACCACTTAGAGGGGCGGGTTTTACATCTTTAACTATAATCATACATTTGACTATTTTTTTCAGTCAAATATTTTCTGCACTGGGGGTTGAACTAAGGGCCTCACACATGCTAGGCACATGTTCTACTGCAGAATCGCAGCCTCAGCCCCTAGGTGTGTTTTGCACCTTGCACTGAGGACCTACTGAGGACCTCCTCAGTAACTACACGGTTAGCATTTGTATCTGTCTTCTTGGTTATGACGTCACTTCTCGTGTCCCATTCACCACTGAGGAGCCATAGCATCTGCAAACTGGTTGGTTGGGTGGGTGGGTGGTTGATTTTTGTTTGATCTAATAAATAAATTTTTGGTTACTCTAGAGGATGGGGACACGGCTTGGCACTTAACAGCTTCTTTGTGGAAGACTTACATTGATTCCCAGCTCACAACTACCAGCAACTCCAGCTCCTGGGGCTCTGACATCCTCTTCTGGCTCTTGCAGGCATCTGCACGCACATACACATTCTCATACACACATATACAATTAAAAAAATAAAATTACCAGACATGGTAATGTAAGCCTTTAATCCCAGCACTCAAGAAGGAGAGGCAGGAGAAATCTCTGAGTTCCAGGACAGCCTGGTCTACACAGTAAGTCCTGTCTCAAATAAATAACAATTTATTATTTATTTATTTGGTTGGTTTTGGTTTTGTTGTTTGTTTTTCTTTCTTTTTTAAAGATTCATTTATTAATTATATATACAGCATTCTTCCTGCATGTATCCCTGCAGGCCAGAAGACAGCACCAGATCTCATCACAGATGAGTGTGAGCCATCATGTGGTTGCTGGGAATTGAACTCAGGACCTCTGGAAGAGCAGGCAGTTTTCTTAACCTCTGAGCCATCTCTCCAGCCCTGTTGTTTGTTTTTCAAGACAGGGTTTCTCTGTGTAACAGCCCTGGAAGTCCTAGAACTCTCTCTGTAGACCAGGCTGGCCTCGAACTCACAGAGATCCTCCTGCCCCTGTCTCCCGAGTTCTGGGATTAAAGGCATGCGCCACCATGTCCAGGAAAAATAATTTTTTTAGTGTGGCTACTCTAACTTTATGTTCTGTTTTGTTTTGAGACAGGGTCTCACTATGTAGCCCAGACTTCCTCAAACTCCATATCCTCCTGCCTCAGCTTCCCAAGTGCTAGGATTACAGGAACAAGTTATAATGCCTGAATTTAGATTGTATATTTCAAAATATTTATGTATTTATTTTTTAAAATATTTATTTATTTATTATGTATATAATATTCTGTTTTGTGTGTATGCTGCAGGCCAGAAGAGGGCACCAGACCCCATTACAGATGGTTGTGAGCCACCATGTGGTTGCTGGGAATTGAACTCAGGACCTTTAGAAGAGCAGGCAATGCTCTTAACCTCTGAGCCATCTCTCCAGCCCCATATTTATGTATTTATTTTAGTTTTTCAAGACAGGGCAGCCCTGGCTGTCCTGGAACTCGCTTTGTAGGCCCTGAACTCACATAGATCCACCTGCCTCCCAAGTGCTGGGATTAAAGACATGGACCAATACAGCATCAGATCCCACAGAGCTGGAGTTACAGGCTGTTGTGAGCCACCTAATGGGGGTACTGGGACCAAACTGGGGTCTTCTGGAAAGGCAACAAATGATCAAGTGTTTGTAACTGCTGAGTCATCTCTCAGTTGATGGATTCTGTATTTTTTTAAAAATATTTATTTATTTATTATGTATACAATATTCTGTCTGCGTGTATGTCTGCAGGCCAGAAGAGGGCACCAGACCTCATCAAAGATGGTTGTGAGCCACCATGTGGTTGCCGGGAATTGAACTCAGGACCTTTGGAAGAGCAGGCAATGCTCTTAACCGCTGAGCCATCTCTCCAGCCCCGGATTCTGTATTTTTAATTAATTAATTAATTTACTTATTATGTAGACAATGTTCTATCTGCATGTCTGCCTGCAGGCCAGAAGAGGGTGCCAGATCTCATTACAGATGGTTGTGAGCCACCATGTGGTTGCTGGGAATTGAACTCTGGGCCTCTGGAAGAGCAGCCAGTGCTCTTAACGGTTGAGCCATCTCTCCAGCTCCCAGATTCTCTATTTTTTATGGCTTTGTATTGTCCACATTTAAGCAGTTCTAAGTTTTCTCTGTGAATCCTAAAAGCACCAAGACTCTTTCTCGGTCCATGAGAAATGGTCATTCTCTCACAAGTGCACAGTGGTTGCTGCAGCTCCCTGTCCTGTGGTGATCTTGTAAAAAGGAACAATAACGGTGGGGGTAACGGGGAGGGTCATGCAGCAGCAGGTCTCATGAGCTAGTACTTTCCAGATGACCAATGAGGTATGCTACCTAATCTTGCATGGATAAAATATCCATTCAAAATGCAAGGAGCAGGGCTGGAACAGTTCCCAGCATCCAAGTTGGGCAGCTTATAACCCTCTGGACTCTGAGGGCAGATGCGCACGAACACACACACACACACACACACACACACACACACACACACACACACA